TGCCTCGAGAAAGGACAGACAATCTAGATCTGACTGCTGCAGCATTCCTCAGTGGTCTTTTTTGCCCACACACATTCTGGTGACTCCATGGGGTCAGCAGCAGGGGCTGCATGCGACCTGAGGATTTGTGTCGTCCATCCTGATCTACAGTTACTTGCCATCCATCTGTTTGTGTCATAATTCCAAAGCTATGAAATCCAAACAGCCAAAGCATAAGCATGCACACTAATGGGACCCTAGGCATATATGCAATGGGGCGACTTACTTTTAAAATGCATTAATTAATTGTAATTAATTTAAATAGGTCCAAATGGTTGAAGCCTAGAGTAACTTCTTCAGCCACTTAGGGGCAAGTATCCCCAAACCACCACTGAGATTGCAGCTGTTGGGAAAATTTGGATAAATCCTTTCTGAAAAGCATTACTTCTGTGTGCCTTTGCATTGTGGGATCAAACCCTGTCTTCCTTCTCAAAACCAAGCTGTCACTGTTTAAAATGGCATCCCCCACTCCTTTCTCTCACCTTTAGCTGTGGGCTACAGCAGGCAGGCCATTTTAGCCCGAATATACATTGCAAATAGTCATTGTTGGAATTCAGTTTACAAGGAAGTATCTTTTGATAGCCCAGAGGCTCCATGTGCCCAGGCAAATTCAGAATGTCTGGAGTAGATAAGAGTCTTGAGTTCATGCACAGTTTCAGTAGCTTGAATTTACATGTCTAAGCAGACCTGGAGATGGGTTCAAGCTACTGAACTAAAGTGTCAATACAGGCAATTAGAAATATTGTAATCTCATTGTTACTGTGTGATTGACTGACATTCCTTTATCTGTTCTGTATGTGATGACCTCAGAATCTTATTGTAATCTCTGCATTCTGTCATCAATTGCCCTGTACCTGTGTACCTATAAAATTGCTCTGTACCTGTGTACCTATAAAATACCCTGCAATGTGTTGAAGCTTTGCAGCAGAGTTTACCTCTGCCTGTCCAGTAATGCATTATTGTGAGTGTACCGCAGGAACCTGGGTAAAACAATAAAGCCTCAGATGGTCTGGATGCTTGATCTTTCGCACGAACCCGAGTTTTTTTCCCTCTTTTCAAATTGAGATTCCGGGATTCTGACACAGCCCATACAATAGAGAAGCCCAAATTGTGCCCAAATGTTGTGATCAGATCTATTTTATTTATTACATTTATAACCCTCCTCCCCTCCTTCCTTCCTTCCTTCTCCCCCAGGAACTCAAGACAGCTTCATAATTCTTCTCCTCCTCTCAAGCTTATTGTCACAACAACAACCCTGTGAGGGAGGTTGGGCTGAGAGTTTGTGACTGGCCCAAAGTCCCCCAGTTGGCTCCGTGGCTGAGTTGAGGGGGGACTAAGACCTGAATCTCCCAATTCTCTCTTAACTACTACACCACTCCAGCAATTTAGATCTTGACCCAAACAGTTTTGTGGGAGCCCTTGAATCAGGCAGAGGTTTGAGTTGAGAACCCGTTTTTACATATTTTTCAGTAACTCCCCAATCACAAGATACAATTCTTACACATTCTTGCACTTTCCCGGACACACATTCTTCCAGAGGTTGCCTTTACAGATGCACAAAGTTCATGCACCCAGCTTTTGGTTGCAACATTTCTCTAGCACTGGAGTAGTGCCCCGAGTGAGGAGCTGAGGAGTTTAACGAACAGGCAGTGCTGCTCTTTCGTAGGCGAAGGCAGAAGGCCTGGCTCCTGGCGCCTGTAGCAGCCTTAGCCAATTTGGAGAGCCTTCATACTGATGGGGTTTGCACCACATGCTAATCCATGTCGCTCCAAAGCCACGCAGGCTTACCATGTTCTCTGTATCCGGCATCATGAGTGGGCGGCGAATATGGAACCCTAACAAGGATAATAAAACTGGGACTAGGGATATGTTGTAAACCAGGAGATCCTCTTTCTGTAAAGCATTAGAGCCACCCGTGTTCAGCTTGTCAAATTTGACCATCCTTGCAAAGGAGAAGGAAGGGAAAATATTATCACATCACTTTTATATCCCATATCCTTTTCCCATCTTGTGAATTGCACAAGACGGCTTGTGGAGTTGGATTTTATCCTCATAACAACCACCCTGTGAGGTAGGTTGCACTAAGAGTTTATGACCGGCCCAAAGTCACCTAGAGAGTTTCATGGCCCAAGGGAACTAGAACCCAGATCTTCTGGATCCCTAGTCCAACTCTAAGCGCCATGCCACACCGGCTCTCGCACCTGCAGCCTGTGCCGGGCAGTGGAAAGGGCGGAAGACTGTTGGTTAGGTTTTTGTTGAAATGTGGGTTATTGTGTTGTCTGAACTCAGCCATCATACCAAATAACCCACAGTTCACAACCCAACAGCAAACCATGGATTCTCTTCACTGATTGGTCATAGTTGACAAACCACTACTAGCTTCAGATAACAACAACCCCCAATTCACAATCCTTGAGTGTGAATTATGTTGTCTGAACCTAAATTAGATGAACTAGTGCTTTGGTTGGTTTAAAACAGCTTTCTGTATGCCTGATCAGCCCACTAGAGGCCGCTAGAAGTCCGTTCTGTGCAGAGGAAGGCCGGATCACCCGTTTTCCTGCTTGTGCAGCCACGGATGGTTTTCTGCCCCGCACTTTTGGCTCTCCCCCGATGGCAAACAAACAAATGCACTCTGCTGAATGGCGCAGCCACACCCTGGCGGTAGAGGCAGGGGTCCTGGCATGGCGGCTGGAGGACTGGCCTGAGGATTTAGGAGAGCAGGGTTCAAATCTCCATTTGGCCATGAAGCTCACCAGGTGACCTTGGGCCAGGCACTCACCCTCTGCCTAACCCACCTCACAGGGTTGTTGTTGTGAGGATAAAATAGAAGAGTAGAGGAGGAGGGGGATATGTGTGTGTGTGTGTGTTGTTGTTGTTGTTGTTGCTAGTCGCGAAGTCGTGTCCCACCCATCACGACCCGATGGACAACATTCCTCCAGGTCTTCCTGTCACACACACACAGACACATACACATGTAAAAGAAAATTTGGGGATTTGGAGGATAGGATTCCTCACTATGGACAGTTCTTTTCAAGTTCAAAGGAAAATCTGGAATGGACATGCAGTCCCACTAGTATTGCAACCATCAGCCTCCATAGTCTCTCAGCTATATGGACTGGCGGAGGACCCTATGGGATAAAGAGCCAGAATTCACATCAGCATGCATTTTGTGTAGCCACTGCACAATGTCTACTGTTCCCAGAGAGGAAGTGCACCCTGCACACTGCTGACAGCACCAATCTTTGAAGCTGAACATTCAAGATTTGCAAAAGAATTAGTATTTGTAAAGCTTCGGCCACTTGGATTTGTTCCCGGGATAAATGTGCGGCTCAAAAGCGGGGTCCCTCCCAACCTTCCTCCCTTACTCACTTTCTCGCCTTGCTAATGATTGGAGGTACCATGCCATCTAGAGGCAGCATTTAGAATGAGGTCTGAAAAAGACCGGGACAGGACAGATGCAGCAACTGCTACAACAGAGCAGAGTTTTGCAAGTGGGGATCATGTAGAAAAAGTGGAGGGGAATGAGTCCCCGCTGGCTCTGAAAGTACCTTTAGAATTGTAAACAATGAAGGGCCTTTGCAGATTATCCAAACCACTTCCTCAGTTAAAGCCCCTTATTCTGCCCAGACTCTGCAAGCAACCTCTGACAGACGACTGCCCAGCCTTTGCTTAAACACCAGCAGAGAAAGGCACCCCACCACCTCCTGAGGCAGTCTGCCCCACTGCTGACCAGCTCTTGGTTTTAGGAGCTTCCTGCTAATGTTTAGCTGAATTCTGTTTTCCTGCAAGTTCCACTGCTTGGTCCGCATATCTAGTCCCTGGTTCAACAGAGGACAAGCCTGCTCCTGCTTCTGCGTGGCATTTGAAGACCACGAGCATCTCTCCTCATAAACTTCTCCTCTTCTGCTGAAATAGACCCAGCTCTTTTGATGATCCCTCATAGGACTTGGTTTCCAGACCTCCACCATCCTGGTAGCTCTTCCTGGGTAGTGCTCTCCTTTGTCAGTATCCAGTGTCAACTGGTGTTCAGTGGGGTTGGTGGGGTGGAGGGCAGAGCAGACGCTTGGTCCTCTCCTGAGACTGCTGGAGGGGGGCAGAAGATCAAGGGTGGCAAATGGCAGCTGCATGCCATGCACTGGACCAAAGGTAACCGACTGTGGGGGATTTCCTTGCCACCAGTGGGTGTGGGTGAGACAGAAGGTCACTGTCCCTTTGGTCCCAAATGCAAAGCCACCTCTGTCAATATCAAATGTGGTGCCCAGAACTGGACACAGTACTTGAAAGCAACCTGATGAATTCAGAGCTGAATTTTGAACTGCATCCCATAATCTGTTAATGCAACCTAAGACCACATTGGCTTTTGCAGGGAGGACTAGGAAATCAATGAACCAGTTAAATTTGCATGTATATACACATGAATGGCTTGGATCAGGGAAAGCCACACTAATCTTCCAAAGTTATTTCTTTCCTGATGCTGCACACGCGTGTTGTATCAGACGCTGTATTGTAAGAGGCATTCCCTGCTGCGTGAGAAAGTGGGAGGAATGCCTCGTCTAAGGTAGCTCTTCCAATCGACAGTTTCACCATTTCCTGTGTTTGTGCATGGGGTATTTTTCCTTTAATATTTTAATGAGAAGGGAAGTCTCCTCCCCAATTAACCAGGGGCACCTTTGAGAAAATCAAAGCCATTTTTCAGCGGTTCATTTAAGTGATTGCTAAATCAAATGATGCAGCCTAGATTTTCCCGGTGACGAAGCACAGTGTCCTGAACCCTGGAAGAACACAACAGCTCTGCAAGGGCTTCCTTGAAGCGGGCTCTACACTCGCAAAAGACACAATCAGTTCCTGTCTCAGCAGAACCCTGGAATAATCCGTGCAGCAGAGAGCTTTGGTTACTGAGAGGCATCAGGTCTTAAACACACACTTCCTCTTGGAAAACTAGATTCAAAAAGCAGACGTACCTCAAGTCAAGGAAGCTATTCATGTAGGTCACCATGAAAGACACAGACTGGGGTGGATCATTCACTTTGTCCCATTCCAGAAATGCTTTCCCAAAGCTGCAAGAGAATTGCTGAGCATAAATGGCCTGTAGCAATCCTCCAACGGAATATACATAAACACTGCAGACATCAGCTTCCTGTGATATAACATCAAAACTGTGTTTGGAGAGTAGTAGGGAAGTAGAGAATCAGTCGAGATTCTCTCCATTTCTCATTTCTCCAGTCTTAATTTTGGTTCATCCTGAACTTGCAATTGGAAAGAATGTTTGCGTGAAAGTTTGTAGGCAATCTTGAGTGCATTTTCCAAAAACTTGCATTTTTGTATGCTGCCCAGCACAACATAGACATTTTAGTGTGCATTCTTTGTGGAGTAAGCTCAGGACTTCACAACTTCCAGAACCGCTGTGCCAAATATTAACTAGTCCTGGGTATGTGATGAGACCCACCTAAGATCTGATATTTTGTATGGTTCTGGTTGTCTAGAAAATGATATTGTATTGCTGGAAAAGGTGTGAGAATGAGCAACTAAACTGGTCAAAGCTCTGAAGGAATTCCACTGTGAGGAAAGGGAGCTCAGATTGTTTAGCTTGCAGGTGAGGGGGGAATAAGGAGCAACGCAACAGAAGTGAGCATGTTGTAGAGAATGTGGGTGGGGGGTGTTTGTCTCCCTCTCCCATAATGCTAGAACCCAGTGGGCTCACCCAGTGAAACAGATGCATGAGACAGATTAGGACAGATCAAAGGAAGTGCTTCCTTGAACTGTGGAGTTCACTTCTACAAGATGCAGTGAAGGCCACCGATTTGCATCCCTTTAAAGGGGGAGTGGACAACTGCATGGAGGAGGAGACTGTCCATGGCTGCCAGCCCTGATGGGTCTATGCCACCTCTGGTAGCAGAGGCAGTGTGCTTCAGTTGAAGGGGTACTTGGCCGGGGGGGAGCTATGGCACCCGTATGCTGCCTATGGGATCCATAGGTGCATGGCCACTGTGTGAACAGAATGCTGGGCGAGAGAGACTCTTGCACCCTCTTAAGCTCTCCTTAGATTCTTATGCCTGGCCCGACAATGGGCAGAATGACTCCTCGGGTGTTGAAGCCACGTTCAACATTGCGTGTGATCAAACAACAGTTAGTAGGAAATATTCCAACCGTCATCCAAGGCCTCCTTATGTTCATCTATGAATGTAGATTTCTCTGAGGCTGTTTTAGTGCATCACCTCTAAAATCCAAATTAAATGCAAAATTTAACACCTAGATATGCCGTCTGAATAGTCAAGTTAATACTGCAGGTGTAACTCGGGTCACATTTCAGAAGTGATATAAATCCATAATCTAGACAAGCAATTTCCTTCCCTTCTGCCCTCTGTGAGAATGTAGAACATTTAATAACAAGCAACCCACTCTTGTGGGGTGAAATTTCAAAGGTTCAGGCAAAATCGATTGTAGGCTGCTGCTGAGTCGACTGAGACTGAACACTCATCACTTGCTTGGAACATTTCTGAGCACACCTCTAGGTGCAACGAGAAGGGCTGTGGGGGAAATCTGCAAAGGACTCGGATTCGGATTACTGTCAAAGGCAAGTGCGGCTTTAGAGCGAAGTGCACTGTGTGGCTGTACATTCGTATGCCCAGCAAATCACTGCCCACCTCAAAGCCCTGGCTTTCAAAGGAGGCAGACGTGTGTGATCTGAGAAAAGAGGAAGGAACCACAGAGAGGATGCAGGAGGACATGGTCAAGTATGTGCTACATTTATACCCTGCCTTTACCGCCAATGAAACCAAGCAGTATATATTATCTTGCTCCTCTTCCCTCTTTTATCCTCATAAGAACCCTGTGAGGTGGGCTCAGTTATGAGGCAGTGGCCCTGCACTTACCTAGTGCATTTCATGGCAGAGCAGTGACTTGAACCCAGGTCTTCCCAGCGTGAGCACTCACCACTGCACCAGGCTGCCTCTCTGTGGAGAGTGGGTGTCCCATAGAAGTACCCTAGGACGTGGTGGAGCAGGGCTCAGGAGCCACTAGCCGAGGAGCCAGAGTAGGTTCATGGGACCTCTCCATGGAGCCCCCCCCTGCGGCTCCACCCCTTTGCCCCCCCCTCCCCCCACCCCCCCCCCCAGCAAGAAGGGTGCTTTCAAGAAGCTTCCATTGGTGGGAGGTTCATTAAAAGGCCTGCAGGGGGCAATTTGGGGAAGGCAGACGCAGCTGTCAAGGGAGGGGGTGTCACCCATGCTTTGCCCCCCTGCCACGGGTCTTCATGGATCCTGCAGCTGCAGAGAGGGGGGTTAAAAGCTCCCCCTGCCCATGCATTCCTGCCCCCACCCCAGCCAGGGATTTTCAGGGATATTGCAGGGGGGGTTATCCCTCCCCTGCCCTCCCCACCGCCAGCCATCTCCATGAAAACCAGCCTGCCACCCAGCAATTAAGAGCAAGCAAAGCACTCCCACTGGCTCCAGCAAGAGGCTTTTTTCCAGCCAGACTGCGGCGTGGGTGTGTGAGGGAGCACGTGTGTGTGTGTGTGTTGTGGGGGCGGGAACCTGTGACCTACTCCTGCATTATGGTCCCACCCCTGAAAAGTTCTTTTCCTAGGACCAGGGCGCACAGCGTCTTCAGACCTGTTCACACGATGGGCAGGAGAATGCAAAATTAGGTAGGTTCACGCACACGTGAAATGGATGAAATTGGGAGACCCCTCTTTTTTCAGTGCTAGGCTGAAACCCTGCCAGGAGTAAGACCCACCACAGGCTCATAGCCTGCAGTTTTCTCCACGACTCTTCCCAGTGGTATTAAAATTGAGTAAGAGCGCAGCCTAACAGGGACACCCATCCTGAATTTAGGGGATGGAGTCATCCTAGGCTAAGTGTGAAGATCATGGAGGTGCGAGTCGCCTCTGCACTCCTGCTGCTCTATGAAGCAGCTGGCAGGCTGGCTTCAGCCATCGAAGGGCGATGATTCGAAGGGGGAGGAAGGGAGGCTGAGGTGCCACCAGGATATGCTGCACCTTGGTGGCACCAGCCTCCTGGCCCCGCAAGCCTCCTACTCACTCCCCAAAGCTCTTATCTGGGGTCACTCTTACAGCCTTGGAGAAACCCCAAGGCTGTAAGAACTTTCTGCACTGGCTGCAAGGGGAGAAGAGGGATCTGAATGCAAATCCCCAGATCCAAGGTCCAAGCTCCCTTTCAGCCTCTGATCCGGGCATCTGAAAAATCCTGTGGCCCTCATGTCACTTTCAGGGGTCATAGGATCAGTCAGCAGAGCTGTTATCTTTTTGCCTAGATGTCACTTAAACCTGTGCAACATTTGAGTCAGATCAACTGCTCCATCTTCCCCAGTATGATCTACTTAGACAGACTCTCAAGGTCTCAGAGAAAGGTTCTTCCAGCCCCCTTACCTGCAATTCATATGACTGGAGAGCTGGAGAGAATGTGGAACCTTCTGCATGTGAGCTTGCCCGAGGAGGGGCTCAGGTTTTGGGGTGCCCCTGGGCAAAACACCCTCCATAGGCCCCTCCCTCCCTGCTATTGCCTCCGGTTGCTCGTCCTCTTCCTCTTTGCTGCTATTGCTTTCTTGTCTGGCACAGAGCCAGGGACTGGGTGGGTGGTGCCATCTCCTGCCCCCTTCCTTACCACCACCATCAAAAGGGCAGAGCAAGAGGCAGGTGAACAGGTAGATTGCACTGGTGAGGCAGAAGAATGTATCCAGGGCCACCTGGTGGTGAGCCTCTGCTGGAGGGTACCAACCACACCTTCTCTGTTCTGCATCCCCAGGACCGTGGATGCCCTTCAAGTCAGAAGTATAAATCTGAAGCCTAACAGATGCTGTTCTTTATTCTGGACCAAAAGGTAAACAGAACTTACCACGGTATGAATTCTATCAATTCTTTTAGGTTGACTTCGAGAACGGCTGTCTCCAGCTTTTTGCTTATGTTGCCAGATGTCTTCATATGTTCTCCAATGAGCTAGACAGAGAGGAGGAGGCCATCATTGCAAAAGCAGAAGCAATGCTGTGTCAAGATGGTGCAGCCTGACATGAGTGCAGTGGGCAGGCCAAAGAGCCTCTTTCTGGGGATACCGGTCATGTAACAAGCGGAGGCTTGTGTGGCAATAGAAATAGCAATGTCTTGCAGGAGGCACAATCGACAGGCTCCTGAGAGAATGTCAAGATCCTCCAGTTTCACATTTGTTTGCTCAGAGCATATTCCTGGAATTTTTTAAGAACAGGGTACATGGAGTATTTTTTTAGAACAGGAAAAATGCTGCTGTTTCTCCTTGTGCATTTGAGTTATTCTGCCATAGCACAGCTCCATCTAGAGGTTTGTACTGAAAAAGCCAGAATGGCAGCACTCATGTGCCTCAGATCTCAGTTTGGTGATGAATGTGTAGATAAAGCAATTAACAGCCTCATCTAAGAAAAGTGCTATAAGGAAGGAGAAATTTCCCTGCAGTAATGGAAAGAATGGTGCACTTTTCCTGGGAGGAAAGGCTAAACAATTTTGATATTCTTAGCTGATGGCTTGGCAGCAGGGGCATGTTAAAAGAGGACACAATAAGGTTGTATAAAATTGTGCATGATGCCAAGAAAGTACAGAGCGATTAAATGTTTTTCTCTCCTTCTCATAACACTGCCAGGCAGGGTCAGGATCACCCAGCTAATGAGCAATAGGCTGAAGGCAGAAAAATGAAAGCATTTAAAAATGCAATGCATGATTCATTTATGACAGGCACCTGATGCAACTCATGGGCCCTTCCTGACCAGCCCACATCCCACAATCCAGATCATCCCAGGAAGCTTCCTTTCATCAATTAGTCTTGAAACACTCCCCCCGCTCCCGCCAAAGTCAGTGGGAGCCTATTTGCAAGCCTATTTCAGCATGGGTGGGCTTGTTTGCCACAACTGAGGAAGGAAGGGTTAATTCCAGCAGACTGGGACCCCAAAACATCACCCTGGACGCTGGGAGAAGAAGATCTGGGAAGGTGCTACCATTAAGAGAAGGGGGTTAACCCTTTCCTGCTCTTCTATAACCCCTTCCCACAAGTCCCTGCAGAATTGGATGTTTAAAAGAGTCAGGAGCATTTTCCAAACCTCCTTGCTAAGCAACAACCTCTTCAAGCATGTGGATGAGTGCTATGTTGGCAAGTGCATGGGGCAAGTTGGGACATGTTAGCTAATTAGCAATGATAGCTAATTGGAATCTCCAGATCTGGAAGGAGTTTTTCACTGAAGACCAAGTGCTGGGACAGATCACAGGAAGATCTGTTGCATGAATGATCTGTTGCATGAATGATCCAGAAGCATTTGCTTCTGAGCTTTTCATGACCCATTATTCATATTGTTATTATTTGCATTTCTCTGTCACCCAATAGCCAGACCTCTCTGGACAGTTCACAGAAATTGCAACCATAAAATGTTAAGATAATAAAGGTAACATAAAATGTTTAACATGCAAAATGTGGAACAATTTAAATGGTGGAACATTTCAATAAAAGGCTAGACTCATTCAAGACAAATCCATCCTCATGAGCCACTCATTGCCGGGCACTAGAAGGATATGGCAGGATTCCCAAGCATTTTGCACCCACAGAATGGCCCCGACCCAACAGATGCCCAGAGGAAGCCCCACAATCATGGGATGAAGGCAGATGCAGTTTCACCCTTTAACACTCCCAAGCAATCTGCTAATCCAGGGACGGAAATGCATGGCATTCCAGATGCTGGAGGGCCTGCAAGTCCCATCATCCCTAGCCAGCATGGCCAATGATGATGGAGACGGAGTCAAAGAACATCCAGGATGGGAAGACACACATTCCTCATGCCTGTACTAACCCAGTCCATAACTGCCTTCCTGGTTACTGAAAAGGCATTATAATTCCATGAAAGAGGAACAAAATGTGTGCACCAAATCCCCACCTTTAATTTTCTTTTCTCCCAATCCCTTTTTTTAACTGAAATGACTCAACCCATTGAAAACTGTGAAAATGGAGTGTTCTCACTTCAGTATTTTGCAGTCTCTAAAGCTCGCAGGGCCTCTTGGTTCTCCCATCCTGTTTAAATGCGGGTGGGTGCGCTTTGCCTCTCCCCTCCCTCCCTCCCTCTCTCTCATTCTCTCTCTTTCAGGCTGCCATAGCTGCCTTTTCCACTAAGTGCCTTTTCTAATAAAACTGTTCTTCCCCCTGCCTCTCCCTTCCTTTCTGAAAGAACTTTAAAAAATCAGTTGCCTATTATGTCTGAGGCACAATTGACAGCAGGATTAATTTGTAGCTAGGAAGCGAGTAGTGGCAGTGTGAAAAAGTTGTAATAAACTCTATTTTGCTAATACATTCTCAGGGTACGTGACTAACATAAATTAGCACAGTAGGTGACACCTACATACCAGAAGGTAGTATTTCAGTTTCCTTGGAATCAAAGAAAATACATGTACTATGCACAATCTATGCACCATCTAAGCAAATACCGTTTGAATGTCAAGGGACAGAGATGAGTGATACTGGCTTTGTGGAGCATCTGGCTGTTCTTCTGATTCCCACTTTTCCTTCATCTCTAGCATCAGAATATTCTCAAAGCAGTTCCTGGTTTTCTGCTAAATTATAAGATAAAGAACAGTAATGCAGCTCAGTGTTATATTCACACACTTTTTCCACACACGTGCATCTCGTTTCCTGGTTTCATCTTATTGCTGCACCATGAGGCACACAGGTTTGTGTTCTGAAGAATCTGGAAATTCACTAGATGATTGGAAGCTGCCCGATGCGAAGAACTGAATGGGCAGTTGCGTTCAGACAACATCATAACCCACATTTCAACAAGAACCACCCACAGCTTAATGGCAATCACACTTAACCCATACTCAGCCCTTGAGTGTGGTTACCATGTTGTCTGAATATGTGTGTGTTGCCACAGAACTGTAGAGCCCCAACATCTGCTGTTGACACTGACTGACAGCGACTGACTCCCAGCTTTGCATTAAGCGACTCACGTGGTGCCCACATCCCTGCTTGGCTGGTGCCTGCATCCCAATGGACAGGAGAAGCCACGGGCAGGGGAATCTGTCTTTGCCGATCTCAGATCAGAAGTAACAGCAGGGATTCCTCCATAACAATTCTCCTGGAGGAATCCAAGGAGGTTGGTTGGGATGGGAAGCCTCTGTGGGACTCTGGTTTATAAGGTGTGACTAGCCAGGTGGGTTCTCAGAAGCCCGGACAGGTAATTGTGACCCATGGATGTTCACTGGGCCCAGTGCTCCTGCAGAACAGCTTCTGAGGGCTGTGGGAACAGTTTTGAGTCAGATGAAGGGGAGGGACTAGAATCTGCCCCCAAGATGCTGGCAGAGATGCCGGCAGGGATAAGCCAAGTGGTAGTTGGGAGTCAGTTAGCTTCACATACTGAGGCAGGGAAACGTGGGCATCAGAATGAGGAAGAGGGCAGGTGAGGTATTACTAATTCCAGACATCAGCTAAAAATGGCAAACGCTCCAAGCAGATTGGCTCGTATGCAACAGAGTTTGTCTAAAAGGTGGGAAAATCACAATTTTCAATAGCAAATTCAGTTTGGAATCAATTTCATACCAGTAGGTCTGACTTCTTTAATGGTGGTCATTCTAACCATGTTTTCTTCTTTTGTTATTCACCTCTGCAACAGGCTTCATGTGTACTTTTAAACCAGTCTGACTAGCTTGGATTTTCATAATAAAACACTGAGTCAGAAAAGCAGTATCTGAATCTACCTTGGCGAGATTCAAGCAACATAATGATCTACACCCAAAAGTTGAGTATACATTGAATGTGAATTGTCACTGAATACAAGGCTGTTGTTGAAATATGGGTTATCCTCTTATGAGAACCCAGCCACAGTAACAAACCACAATTTATTAACCCTGCACAACCCACGAAGAGAGCTCTTCGTTGTTGGATTGTGAATGGTAAGCAACATGGCTTGTTAGAATAGCTCAGTCAGACAACACTGGAACCAACATTTCAACAGCAACCCACAGTTCAGCCTTTGAGTGTGGGTTACCCTGCTGTCTGAAACTGTCCAGTGTGTGTGTGTTTGTGTGCAAATAAGTTGTCACTGATCCATAGAGCATCAATGACTGTATATATTTTCACCTACATCAGCAGCAGCTTCCAGCTGCAGCCCACGTTCCTTCATATGTCAATCATTCCAAATAGTACATTTGCATACAGGGCCCTCATTTAGCATTGACCTGGATGTCTGATATTTGCTTATGCACCAAAGAGAAGCCATGGGGAGAGAGAGAGAAGGCATTTATGAAATGGATGACCTTTTTAACCAATGTCGGTTCTACTTTTCACATCATGAGAAGGCAAGATTCCTTGGGGAAGACAATCATGTTAGGGAAAATCAAAGGCAGAAGACAAAAAGGGAAACCTAATGTGAGGTGGATTGAATCCATAAAGGAAGCCCACAGCCTTGAACTTGAACCGAGCAGGGCTGTCAAGGACAGGCATTTTGGAGGGCTTTCATTCATGGGGTTGCCATAAGTTGGAGACAGCTTGATGACACCAAACAACAGTGACAGGTTCTTCTTTTAAAACCCAATTTAAACAAGTTCCACTTTCAATTCTCCAGATGAAAAAGCCCAGACTGTTTGACAGATCTGGCACCTGTGCCAAATTTGGTCCAGTGAAGTGATTCAACTGTTGGAAGAGGCCAACATGGGTGTGAGGGTAAACAAATTCTGATCCTAAATAGGGAAGTAAAGTGTGCTTCTCACCTGCTCTTCTCATTAGCCACCTCTCAACACAGAGGGATCGATTCAGAGGCCTGCTCCCCACAGTGAAGAGTGCCTCACCAGGAGTGGTCCCACAGAAATCAATTTAGCTTCAAAACTGATCTTGTTAAGCAGTACAATTCTCAGTGGGAACACGCAGATGTGGTTACGAGCAAGTTCTCTTATGAAGCAACTGTTTCCCATATAAGCCCAATCAAGTTGATGTACAAATACTTCTATTCCATAAAGAACATGAGGGCAAGCAGGTTGTTCATGTTTTCCATGTTTAGAGCTTCTAAATGTCTAAATTTGGCAAGGTGGTTTTAGATGCAACCATTTTAAGGCAGCAACAGGACAGGAGATACTGTTGGTCGCATTCTGGGGATGAACTCCAGGAAGGTGCAGAAACCAGAAGCTTTCACAGCTGCGAAGCCGCCACTCTGATGCGGCTTCAGAATTAGATTTAGGAAGCTTCCAAAATTCCTATGCCCAGCTGAGCTGAAGCCAGCTGGACAGTAACAGTCACCATTACATTCCTATTTTCCTCATTTGGCAATTTTCACTAGATGGCCTTTTTGACCAGTGTAGCAAGAACAGTTGGGAGAGTAACGGAAGGAGGCTGGAGAGAGCTCAGGGTATCCTACAACTTAATCTCTCCAGTCTGCTCCCCTCCCTATCCACTGGAAACCCCTTCCTCCTCCTCCTCCTCCTCCTCCTCCAACACTGCTTTTCTGATCTGAGGGAGAAGTCAGTGTGCTTCCTTCCGCACAGGCTTCAAGGGGTGGCAGAGCAGGGCTGGATCTGTGACTCCCCCTTCTGAAGTCGGAGCAGTGACTCCTAACCCAGAAGGCTTTTTCCAAGCAATCTTGCTTCCTGCAACACCTTCCCATGAACCTCAGTGATTTATAGTTGCACTTCTAAAACAATGTGAAAACTTAAAACAATGGAAAACTTTTAAAACAATTTGGAAACTTAAAAACATAACAAAGGGGAGGAGGAAATCTTAAACACAACATGAAGGGTGACTACATTTAGGGTGTGCATCCTATGGTCTCTCAAATTGTTTGGGAGCCATAGGATTGTTCGAAGCCCCAGCTCCAAGATCCAGCGTTCTTGGAGCTGGGATTCTGAAGATGGGACCTCTGTGCCCCAGACCACAGGAAAGAGCATGCTGGCTCCTCTCCTGGTGGCCACAAGTGCACCTCAAATGGGAGGAAAAGGGGCATGCCATGGAGGGGAGGGGAGGGGAGGGGAGGGGAAGAGGGTGGGGCCCAGGGCTTCCACCAGTTCTGATCAGGGCTGCAGCTTCCCTACCTCTCCCTCCCCAGTGCTTTCTCTAGATGGCCATCTGGGTAAAAAATCAGGTAGCAGTAGTAGAGACTGCAGCTGTTGCATATTATTGGAGGCACAGGTGACCATCAGCCTCCAAGCCTGGGGCTTGCATGCACCAAAGCAGGAGTGAGAGCATTGTGCCCTTTCAGTATTAAAAAGCGACATAGAGCGAAAGAGTTTCAACAACGTATTGTACAAACATGGGGCCAGCCTAACTTTATTTTGGGAGAGAATTCCACAGGTGGGGGGGCTGCCACAGGGAAGGCCCTGTTCTGCATTCCCATCAATGTATTTTATTCATTTCTTTATTTAAGGCATTTCTATACCGTTTGATTAGATGAGCTCTCAGAATGGTTTACAGAATATACTTTAAGAAATCAGTAACGATCCATTTAAAGGCAAATTTAAAATAACCTTGCCTGTCAACCTGTAGCCTCGCTTGGAGGTGAAACAGGGAGGGCTAAACTAGATGCTACAGAAAAACATAGTGCCTCAGTAATGACACCACGGGGCTGAATTTGGGGGCAGAAGTGGCTGGATGGGGGCACTGGGATGCTTCAGTTTAATGTGGCATATAGTTTTAGCCTGAGACGGGCATCTGCAGAAAGTCTTAAACTATGCGCTGGGACAGTATGGAAGGGGCTGATCTTTCCAATGTTCTTGCCCTGAGCCTTTTTGGACCTGCCGGCAGTTAGGAAAAGACACCCAGCAAAATTCTCAGTGGAAAGAGATGCATGTTGTGGACAATAGAAAGCTTAGATGTCACAAGATTCTGTGCCTGACCTTGTGAGAAAGGATGGAGGGAGAAGAAAAAACTGGGCCATATGCATTGGAACTTTAGCTTTAGCTGGCCCAGTTTATTTCCTGGTCATGATATTGTCATGGTTGTGTTGCCTTCAGCTGGAGGAATATCATTACCATAATTTGTAAATCATTTCCAGGGACGTGTCAGGGGACTTACCTACACTAACATAGTTTGAAGTAAGTCCTGGGGAATAGGTCTTCAAAGAAACTTTGCTGTTCAGGTTTAGTCAGGAGAAAAACAAGCAAGGCCAGCTGCATGTGCCAAAAATGCCAAATAGGTCCAAATATGACCAGGGTTCTCCAAACCACAGCGGAGAAACAAGCACGACTGCTCATCATTTTAGTAGAAATGTGCTTCAAAACACCAGTGTGATGCAGCAGGTACAGCATCGGACTTGGACCCTGAAAGACCCACATTCAGATCCCTACCCAGCTATAAGACTCTGGACCAATCATTATCTCTCATCCTAACCTACCTCACAGGGTTGGTGTGAGGATTAAGTGGAAGGGGTGTTCCCTGTGCATTGCTTTGAGCTCCTTGGCAGAGAGTAAGCACTTGGTATAATCACAGACTCAGATGGCAGGTGCCAAAAGGTGTGTGGTCATCAGGGGCCCTAAGAATCAGCGGGGAGATATCCTTGTACTTAGGAGGACTCCCAGGTTGACCGACGGCGCCAGACTTTCTGCTCTCAGACAGGGTTGTTTGCTGCCACCAGGTTGTCACAGGCAGATAGGGTCGCATCCTTAGTAATGCAATTACCTGTCCTTTGATTTATACAAAATGGAGCATGTATTACCTTGACAGAATTAATACAGTCATTCTTCAGTTTGGCCAATAGTCCTGGAGTTAACAAGCTGGGCAGCTCTTCTGTTTTCATTTCGGGTTTAAGGTCTGGATGTCCTAAGAAGACTTCACTGAAATTGAAATCATAATCATAAATTCTGCTCCCAGACACATCAGGGGTTCCCACCGCCATTCTTCCGACAATAGTCCGGGACAGGTGGCACCAAAGAGTTCTCTGCTGGGGCAGGGGGTGGTCTTGCACCACCACGGCAATCCACCTGATGAAAATCGCCCTCCACAGCTGTTATTTGCTCAGAGGGGGAGCAGTTCTTGGTGCCAACGGCACTTTGGGAATAGGCATTGAGACTGGAGCAGAAGCAGCAAGAATTAACCCAGCCCCGACTCCCTGCCGGCTGCAGTCCAGCTCCTAATTCCCTCTATAACTGCTATTTTTATGGCTTGCAGGCAAGTTAATAATTCTAATAGGTAATATCTTCTTTATTAGTTAAAAGCTTTCTGTCTGTACATTTTTTAAAAAACCATTCCAACCAATGTAGATGTACATTTAACATCCTATGCAGTTAGCAGCTGATACAGAACTTCTCTTTCCTGCTCATTTATTATCCTTCTTCGGATGCTACCAAATTGGGATGGGTACTTGTTTTCCTAACCTGCATCACGACTTAATAATTAATGGGATACAAGTGTGAGGCTTCGCCACATGCTTCTAATTTGGCCTGGAAATATTTCCTAACAGATGCTGTGCTTTGCAAACTGTCTCTGTGAAGCAGGGCGTGCAGAAGGGAGGATAAGTCTTGGTTGGAATTGAATTGGAAAGTAGTACTTAATGACATATCAGCAGAACAATTCAATAAGAAAGACGGAAATGAGCTTCTGAACTCTGCCGCAAAATCACTTGGCAATGGTGTTCTTATCTGAGCTTTTCTTTCTCTTTTGCCCTTTATGGGATGGTGAATTCTGCCAGGATCCTGGTAGCTTTCATTGGCTTCCTACCAAAGAGAGACAAATGGACACCAAAGCTCCCCACTGCTAATTCATGACAACTCTTTCTCTCCCCCTCCCTTCCTCCCCCTCCCTTCTTCCTTCCTTTAGAAGTGATGCATCCTTTAAAATCGGCCTTTTCCAATCTGGCGCTATCCAGAAATTTTGGGCCACAATTTTCATTGGCCCCAATCGACGCAGCCAGTTGCCACGGGTGATGGCACCCAGAATATCCGGAGCGCATTGGGAAGGATGCATTAAATCAGGGGTGGGCAGATTCCTGGGGTCAGGAGACTGCATTGCCCCGTGGAACCCACCGGGGCCTGCTCCCTTCCCTAACTAATCGCTGCAGAACCGGTGGTGACACCCTCCGTATTTTGAAAGGAAACAAGGTGCATGGAAAGCAAGAACTGGACGCCCAGGAGGTGCATGGGAGCACAAGTCCGCTTCCTAACCAGATGCATTCTCTGGGAACGCCGTGGTTTCGTGCAAGAGGGAGGGAAATTGCTGCTGCCACAAAGTCAGAAAAAGCAGTGGTGGAAGCAACTCAGGCAAAAACAGCGCAGGAGGGGCACACGTGGACTGTGAGCCCTTTTCTGCCTGCCTCTGCTTTAAATCATAGGTAGAAATCAGTGCACTAATGTATCAGCATTTTCACTAATTTCTATCTTACTACTGAGAGCCAGAGTGGATGGTGGTGGTGACGACGACGACAATGATTTTAATGTCTGTACCACCACACACCTGACGCTCTTTGGGTGGTTTAAAATACTGGTAGTGGTTAAGAGTGTGGGACTGGTGCCCACTCAGCCATGGAGCCAACTGGGTGACTGGGCCAGTCACTGCCTCTCAGCCCAGCCTACCTCACAGGGTTGCTGTTGTGGGGATAAGAGTAAGAGGAGGATGAGAATTCTGTCAGCTGCCTTGAGTTCTTGGAAAGGGAAAAAAGGTGGGATATAAATGTAATAAATAAGTATTTATGATTTTTATCATTGCACTTGTTCTATGAATGTCTGAGAACTGTCCAGAGAGATGTGCCGGATGGGTGGTATAGTAATGGAATGGATAATAGTAAGTCAGACAATCGGCTTAGAGAGCTCCATACTGTGTATTCAGACTGCTGCCTGCTGCCCAGGGACCCGGTTTCCTGTAGTTCTGCAACCAAGTATTCTTTACACATTAATACATGGGACTGAATCAGGAATGTTCTTCAGGCAAAGCCTGGTGGCCCATCGCAGAGTCATGCCCCTCCTTGCACCACCATGAGCAGGTGCGTTGCATGCGCTCTTGCTCTTTGAATTTTGGGAGAGTTGCTGCCCATCAGAGCTGGCCATACGGGATTAGGCAGCCCATCGGGTTTTGCGGCGATGAGGCTGCTTGACCCGAAGCACCGCAGGACCGATGCCACATGCAGGCGGGACCAAGTGCAGTGCCTCCCATCTCGACACACGCATCCCTGAAAAACACACATGCTCTGCAGCACCAGCGCCGGGGGAAACTCTCCTGTCCTGGGCGCCTTCCAGAGCTGGGTGGGCAAAAGATCTTGACCCGGCAAGAGGCCGGATCTTAGGTCTGCTTAACCAGCTTCTCTAGCCCCCTTCACATGCTCATGAGATGGGCACCTTCACACGATGAAGGGGCTGCCGGCCTGTCTGCCTCCCAAGTATTTGAGAGTACCACTTTATTCAGGGAAGAGTTAGAGGGAAGACCACTGGGGCCGAAGCCTTAAATCTTGCATTTGGAGCCCCAAAACTATGGGAGGCCACCTGCTGTCCATGGGCACCCGCTGAAATCAGGGCATTTCTCCCTGTGTGCCCGTACATGTGCCCTGATGATTTCTGCCTCATTTTAAATCAATTTAAATTATCTGTTGGATTTAATTTGCCGGAATGAGCTAGCTTTTTGCCCATATGTGCTTTACTTCCAGCTGTTCCCTGCTCAAATCATTCTGCCTGAGTTTTTTCTGAACCCAAATGCCCTTTTCTCCCTTGTCTATTCATACTTTTTACAGATAAGTATATCCATAGGAGACAGCGGGTGTTAAAGACGCACACATGTGTGCACGCACGCACGCACGCACACAGAGAAACTTTAACACATGGAACATGGACATGTCTGCTTTTGTTTTCTTTTTGTTATCTGGGTCTGAGCTCTGCCTCACCCCAATTGTTTTGGTACCTACCATGTTTCCCTGAAAATAAGACAGGGTCTTATATTAATTTTTGCTCCAAAAGACACATTACGGCTTATTTTCAGGTGGTGTCTTATTTTTTCTTGTGAGAGCCATAAGATTCTTGTCCTGAGAGTCCTCCATGATTCCTTTCTTGTACTCGATAGAATAGCTCTTTCTTTTTGCACCCATCTTGTCTGGGAGTCAAAACATTATTCCATTTAAATCTACTATTAAATCGAGTGTTAACTGAAGACTTATGAGACAGGAGTGGCAACACATGAGTGCATTAAGTATGTCCTTTAAAACACACGATGTACTGAATTATGAAAAACATCCATTTATCAAGTGCGCACGTAATTTGTGCATTATGTCTGTACTCCAATTGGTCATTCAGCAATAAGTTTTGAATTCATCTGTTTACCTAGGCATTTTCCTCTCATCCAAGGGTGCTCACTTGGGTATTTACAAATACTTAATTATATTTTATATTAATTATATTTTTATATTTTTAAAATTATAATTAATTTTATATTAATGATACTTTATCATTTATTTTAAGTGTTTTAAGTATTAATGTCAATAATATTATTTATTTATAAGTTATATATTAATATTAATATTTTATAATTCAATACATCTATCGTGTGTTGCAACGGACGTACTAAATGCATCCACCTGGCTGAAGATCTCAACTGGGGCTTATTTTGGGGGTAGGGCTTATATTATGAGCATCCTGAAAAAACATGCTAGGACTTATTTTCCGGTTAGGTCTTATTTTCGGGGAAATACAGTAGTACTGCCCTTTCTCAAGGGCAATTCTTGTTTTCTTACAAATGGTTGCTTAGAATGTCTTGCTTCTAACCCACTCAGAGAAGACTCACAGCACGTGGGTGAGGCGTTCTCTTGCCTGATCTTATTTTTTGCTTTCTTGATTCCATGGAGTTGAGGCAGATACGAGGTACTTGGGGTTTCAAGTACTGAGGACTCACCTGCTGTATCTGTTGATGATCCAGTCTAGCAACGTATAGTATTCATTGTATCCCAGGCTGCTGTTTCCTTCCAGGATTCCTTGCAAGTGGAAAGAGAGGGCCTCATGGAAAGCATTCAGATACGTGTCACACACATTGTAGTGCTGGGGAAAGGATTTCTGTAGCCAGTGCTTGACTGTCAACAAATCTTGTGTTATTCGCCTCTCGAGATGCTCTAGGTGCATTGCAAGCCAAGGTGAGTTGTCTGCCTTGAATGGTACGGGCACTTTAAGCACCCTTGCTTTCACGCTTTCTGCAACTGTTTTTTCCCAAAGCTCTCTCCAATTTCTGGCTAACCCGAGGCAGGAGGCAGGCTCAGAAGGAACGGCGATGTTTGCAGCCCCAGCATGAGTTTTTTCTTCTTCTTCAATCAAAGCAACCAGAGAGGTTAACACCTGGGTGTCCCCTTTGGGAAGATCCAGTATCTCTTCCGCAATATGCTGGATTTCCTTAGAAACGGAATCATACAGCATGTTAACATCCTTGGCCCTCACAATGTACTCTTTGGGATTGTCATCAAATTTCTTGGCACCTCTTGCTGCCAGAAGTTCTTTTTCCAAAGCGCTGATGTTTCTGAATGCCTCCAAAAGGTGTCCCTTCTGAATAAGTTGATGTATTTGCATTACTGCAACATGAGAATGGAACATGGCAGTGAGTCACCTCTAACATATCTCCTCCTCTACAAAGTCTCTATATGATTGCTTTGGATTGGTGCCTCTGCAGGAACACAGGTGGCAAATGCTACCTTGGAATGAAAAGTTAACATTTCCCCCATTCCATTTTGACATGGTTTTCACATTCCTCTGTGGGAACCATTCCAAAATATCTCTGGCACAAAGCAAATCTCTTTCAGGGGGAAATCCAAGCCTAACAAGTATACCAGAGAACTCAGTTTTCTCTACATTAAACCCCTTTGACTTGGGACTTTGCTGAAGCTCCTGCTTCAGGATTTTTTGTGGGATTAAGATGGGCTCTTTTACATCTCCCTGCACCCAACCCAGGTTTTTCTTTTCCATTCACCAATATGATCAACCAAGCAGAAGGTGGTGCTCCGGGATAGTGGGCTTGCAAAAATACACAACGTTTTGTAGCATTTTATAGCATTCCTTTAGGACAGCCAATGTTAGCGTGCTGGATAGTGACTCTGGTGATTCCAATTATACTCAGAGGGTAACTGCGAACCAGTCCCCAACTCAGTCTAGCCCACCTCACAGGGTTGTTGTGAGGAGCAGGAAGATTATGCAAGCCACCTTGGATCTCTTGCAGGAAAAAAGACAGGATATAAATGTATTAAATACATTCCATTCATTAATTCCTTCTAAAAGGAAGCTGCAGAAATGCTCAGAAAGCACAGGAGAGGCCCTGCAGTTTTGCAGTGCTGTGTAAAGCACCCACAAACCCCCAGCGGTGATGACACAAGCAGACAAAACATGCCTCGTGTAGAGAAAATCTCGGCATGTCCCTTGTGCTTCGTTAGTCTGAGAGCTGGGAGACCCAGCTGGAGTCCACATTTTAGCCATAAGGCTCACTGGGTGACCTGGGACCAGCCACCAACTCTCAGCTGAACCCACCTCACAGGGTTGTTGTGGGAACAAAATAGGAGGAGCACTCCTGTCCTCAGCAGAGCACTATGTCTGCCACTTTGGGTTCTTTGTAAGGGTGGGGGGAAACTGGGACCTTATCATGAGCCCGACCCTTCCCTTCTTGTCCTGGGTTCTAAAACATCTCAGAGTCCTTTACAATGCAGGTCTATGTTGGCGTGTCACAGTTAACAAGGGAATGCAACTCTAAAGCAAGCTGAATGATAGCCTCTGCTCATGTGCAGAGTGAGTGAGTGAGTACGGATCCTTCCCTTGCATTCATGCTGCAGACTCCACCCTCAGGGTGGCTCCCTCTGGTGGACAGAAAGACTGACGCAAGCCCACTACCTGGATAATTTATCTTTCCCAACTGCTGCTCGTGAGGTCAGGGCCCAGGTGAGGCGACAGCTCCCCCTCCTCTCCTGGGCTCCCTCCCTCTCTCCCGACACATCTCTGCTCTCATGCTCAGCCTGGGAAACTCCAGGCGACAACCTTGATGCCACTTCAAAGGATCCTGCCCCCTTTGATCCTCTGGCCCTCCCACCTCCTCTTCCTTGTACCCTCCCCTTCAGAACGGAGGGAACCCATCCGACTCTTGCAGGTATCTCAGCAAAGTGTCACAGAATCAAATGCTCCTGTTTGGGGGTCCAGCCAACCAGGCCCATTTTTGTTCCCGCCCCTCCCCAAACAGACACTTGGCATTCTCTGCCTAGGAAGCATGCTTATTGAGATGTTGTTTAGTGTTTTACCAACAATTTTTGGACATTTTGGTTCCCACGATCTTACGATGCTTCCCTCTTGAGCAAAGGTGGGACAATCAGCATGTGGAGAACCGAGTTTGGTTTCAAAATGGTAGGCAATCCCACCATTTTTGACTGCAGCTCCTTTAGTCCCTCTCCGTTGGCCATAGTGGATAGGGGTGCTGGGGTTTCCCATCTGGGCTAACTACCATATGGCTAATGGCCACAGATGACCCTCCCTTCTATGAATGCATCCAATTTCTTTGAAGCCATCAGAGGAATTGGAGAAATTCAAGCAGCCACGCCTTGTGCTATGCGGACATCAAATGAGCCACGCTGGGTCCATCCAGTCAGGATGGTGCTGATGCAGGAGCGCCACGCAACACACACCCACTGTGCACCGTAAGGCAGGAAGGCTTGGGAAGTCGTGATTCCTGTGCTAGAACAATCCTGAAGATGCCCCACCCCCACTCCCACTAGGATTGCTCTGTCAAAGCTCTGCTGGCCAATAGATGCAATTGATTATTAAAATGTTATTATTGCATTACGTTTACACCTCATCTCCTTCTCCTTGCAGAAGACTTCAGTTGGCTTACAAGGTTTCCCTCCTCACCATTTTATCCTCCCAGTGACAATAACCCTATGAAGCTGGTTAGGCTGAAAGTCTGTGACTGGCTCAAGGTCTCCCAGTGGGTGGGTGCGTGAACCCCGATCCCCAGAGTCCCAGTCTAATGCTCTAACCGCCACACCAGCTCTCAAAGTAGCTTCAGTTTAGCTCAGAAGAGCACCAGCGTCTCCCAGATTAACAGAAACAGGGTGAAGCTAGGCTGGTTTGTTGAAAGTAAGGTTGTACTTCATGCGTGCTATTTTTCTTCTAAATAATGAGAAAGAGAGGTGAATCAAGAGGGAGATCACAGCACATTGGAATGGGGAGGCTTTAGCCATTGGGCATAGAGAAATAAAAATATTATTAATAATAATAAATGCCACCCCTCCAGAGCTTCTATGAACCCAGTACAATATTATCTCCTTTGTGCCAAGGTGGACGCAGTATTCAGTAGCTTTTCTATGTTTATGCATATATAATTTTAAATTGAAAAGCTAATTAAAAGAATGCTTTAAAAACCTGAGATATTGAAAGCACTCTGAAGCAGCAGCAGGTAGAAACGCTTAAAGGTTCTATTTGGTCAGCATTTTAAAGAGAATGTTTTCATTTGCATTTCTTGTAACACGTCTATGCCTCAGTCTCCATATATTGAATTTTGTACAGAACAGTACAAACGGTTATAAAACGCCTTCATATTGAAATAAAAGAATACACATTCTGGGCGGGGGGGATGTGTGCACAAATGTGTATTTTAAGGTTATTACATAATATTAAAATATGTATTTTGAGAAAATATTTTATGTTCAAAATAATGCATTTTTTATTTCCTTGTTTTTTTAATATTACAGATTTATGAGTGTATGGGGCAGCATGGGCTCACCAATGAAAACATGCAAAGTTGATGTGGATTGTGCTGCCCATCTCCAGCAATACCTGTCTACCTGCCCATTCAAAGCTATGCTCTTAAAGGACTTAGAAATACAGCAAATCAGTGCATTTTCTGTAGTCTGAGGAAAAAAGAAGAGCATGGGGGAAACATAGCAAAGCTTGGTTTTCAGTTTCAAGAAGATGTCCCGTAAAGTGCAAGAGAAGGCAGTACAGTGATTCCACACTAAATGCCTGGTGTGTAATTAGTGTCAGTGCTGGGAATTATCAGGAAGAGCTTAGAAGCTCAGCTCCAGGATCATAAATAGCTTATGCAATCAAAGGTGACAACACCTCAGGACTGGGGAAGGAGGGTGTTTGGTTCTCTTGGGGTCTGAATCCAGCTTTCCCCCGAGAGCCACATACTCTCTCTGCCAGCCACTAATTGTTTGGATGTTCTCTGGCTTTTGTGCAATCTTTTGAAGCCATTCTTCAGTTACTTAGACAGCTGTTCCCCATTGTTTGGATGAGTTTGAACTCAATATGGCCTGGGGACCTGGTGACTAAGACAGTACCCTGGCCATTTGCTTGTTTATCTCCAGATGGGTCCAGCCAAGGCAAGCTGCTTGGTACAGAAATATCTACAATGTATACCCAGCTATCTTCTAAGATTCTTTCCCACTTAGTTTTGTCCAAAGCTTTGTTTATTTATTAGATTTATATCCCATCTTTTTCTTTAAAAGAACTTAAAGTGGCTAACAAGATTTAAGAAAGATGCAGAAAAATTAGAAAGGGTACAGAGGAAGACAGCAAAAATGATCCAGGGTTTGGAAACACTGCCCTGTGAGGAGAGACTGAGGGAACTGGGCATGTTCAGCCTAGAGAAGAGAAGACTGAGGGGGGACCTGATATCCCTCTACAAGTACCTCAAAGGCTGTCACAAAGAGGAAGGTCAAGATCTCTTATTGCTAATGCCAGAATGTAGGACACAGAATAAACGATTCAAGTTGTGACAACCCAAATTCAGGCTGGATATCAGGAAAAGCTTCCTCACGGTCAGAGCAATACGGCAGTGGAACCAACTGCCTAGAGAGGTGGTGGGCTCTCCCACACTGGAGACATTCCAAAGGAAAATGGACAGCTATCTGAGTGGAATAGTGCAACATGGTGTCCTGAAACAGCCTTCATGACCCCTTCCAGCTCTACTATTCTATGATTCTTCCGTTCCTGCTCTCAATCTTATCCCCACAACAACCTGTGAGGCAGGTTGGACTGAGAGTCTACAACAGGCCAAATTCACCCAGCTGGCTCCATGGCTGAGCGGGGACGAGAACCCAGATTGCCTGAGTCCCAGTCCCACACTCTTGATCTCTACACCACACTTGCTCTCTTGTCTCATTTAATGAGAACATGTCTGCTTATGTGAACACCAGAAAACTATAAGGATAGGGAATCGTGCTTAGAGCAGATACTATGTTATAGGAGGTGCTGTAAGGTGGCCAGGGTTAGGGTTAGGGTTAGTGTTGGTCAGGCTTAGGGTTGCTTCTTTGAAGGCGTCCCAATGGAAGAAGGGACATGTGCAATGTAACCTGTACCTGCCCTGCCTTTATAAGCTCTTTTCTATAGTTTGCTAAAACATTTCTTTCTTCCTTACCTACAAGCACGCTTATTGTCTCTAGATCCAGAAATGGAACCGCTGCAACTGGCAGAACAGAAAACAAGATGGGGCAAAAACAGAACACATCCCAACCTATTGCAGCATAAAGGTCTTCCTGTAAGTAGCTAAGCCTTAGGAGAGGGGTTAGCATTTTCTGGAATGGGAAAAACTGCCCCAGAATGAGGAACCGCCAAACCATTGGCGTGGGGGAAGGGTGTGCTGTGATCTGCGGAAGGGAAGCAGGCTTGAGAAGCCAAGAGGACTCAAGTTCACCCTCAGGCAAGAGGTTTCTTAGCCCTGCTTATATCCATTTTCCCTCTTTTCTCAAAATCCCATTTGTACCAATACAGACTCTGATGTCAGGAGCCTCTTCCAAAGGAGCCAGGAGGATGGTTAGCAGCAGGAGGGCCTTTTTGGTGTGGCACCCCAGTTTTGGAACGAGCTCTGCAAAGAGGTCTGCCTGGCACCTGCTTTGTATTCATTTCTGGGTCAGGTAAAGACCTTTTCATTTCCCCAGCATTTTAACAATCTAAACTTTTAACTTTTAATATTGCATTTTATCCTATGCAGCTGCTATGCTTCTATGTTGATTCAATTGCAATAACTGTGGTTTTGTTGTTTGATGTTCATTTTTGTGTGTGTATGTGTGTCTGTGTAAGTTTTGTTAAATCCCCCAGAGAGCCTCAACTAATTCGTATAAAAATGAAATAAATAAATAATAAACGAAGAAACCCAAAGTGCCTACAAATAAAATAAAATACCATATGACACAAACATTTAAATGAAATAGAAATTCATGGTAGGAAAATAAAACAGTAGTACAAAAATAAATCTCCACCAGCCCAATAGCAACCTGTAACAGCAACTACCAGCGTCCTTCCTCTACTGGTTGATTGAAACAAGCAAACAAGCACACAATTTGGCCAAAGTCTTTCTGGAAAAGTCAGGTCTTTTCGTGGAAATAGTGTTGCACACTCACATACTCCTCTGAGGCAGAAATTCCATAAGAATGATGCCACCACCCAAAAGTCCCCGTGAAGTCCCTTTTTGGCAGTGTCATTCAACGCATCTGCTATTGACTGAGTTTACAGTCCAGGGACCTTTCCACAACCTAATGTCACAGCACTGATCAGCACTGTAAATTGGCCCTCGTTGTAATAGACTGAAACAATTCCACACCCGTCCCTCCAAACTAGTACTGAGCTTAAGTTAAGGGAGCCAGCATAACCCCGCAAACAGTGCTAAGCAAAATTATTTGTCATGCCTTACCAGACATTGGTTCTTTGTACACATAATCTTCTCCTTCACAGTCCACTGCATTGCTTGGAATACCATCAATTTCTTTACTGGTACGGTCATCATCTTCTTTCCTTTTGATGTTCCTCAGAGAAAAATTCCTACTGAATCTGGAGATAGCTGACTCTTCCATTGAACTCCGTTCAAGTTTTCCCATAGATCTCCGGAAGGTCAACTTTCGGATGAAAGACTTGCGGTTTTGCTTTCCATTTTCACTTTGGTCATTCTTGGGTGGAGAATTTTTGGAAGGACACATCGCATCATTACCGCCTGTGTTCCCCTCTGGGAACTCTGGCTCTAATGGCACCTCGGCTTTTCCATTGGCTTCCCTTGATTTTGTTTTATTTTTATCCATGTCAGCTTGACCGCAAACAACGTAGATGTAGAGAAAGGAGCTACTGGTGGTGGGAGAAGCATACCAAGAAAGAGAAGTTAAAAAAGTTAAAAAATGTTGGAGGGTCTCGGGGTCAGACTGAGGCAGGGAATGACAATAGAATCATGCTGACTGTGTTTAGAAAACATAACCTAAATTCAAGGTTGTTGTTGAACAGTAGATTCTTGTTGTATGTTATCATGTTGTCCGAACCCACTTGAAATAACTAACCATGGTTAACATCCCACAGTTCACAACCCAGCAATAGATCCTGGGTTCACTTCATGGGATGTTCATGGTTAAGAAGCCATGGCATGTTCACACTGTTGGCTTAACCACAAGCAACCCATGAAGAAAAACAGCACGGTATGTTGCTGTGCTGTGAGCTATGGGTTGTGAACCATGGTTTGTTATCTCAGCTGGGTTCAGGCAACATAATAAAGTAAGGATGCATCAAAGCTCCAAGGAATCCATCTCTTTAGCATTTGTGGATTTCCTCCTATGCTCAGCCCTCACTTAGAAAGGGAGCCAGGCAGAGGGGAAGTCTACAAACACTTGTGGAGTGAGATTTGTGCAATCAGCAACTTTCTTCTGAGACACATGCAGCAGGAAAAGCAAAGTCTGCCTCCACGTGACATAGAGGAGGGAGGCTGCTTAGAGCAGCATAGGAATCAATTCCTGGCGCATGCCGTGCAAATGCTGGGCCCGCTTGCCAGGAGCTCAGAGTCATGGCCATAGGGAAGTGGACCAGTGTCTGAGGAGCCTAAGCCAGGGAATCCAGCAGAGTCCCACCCTCAGAGATTCCTCACACATCCTTAAGGACACATTTCAACCAACACCCATGGTTCAGCAAGTGTGGGGTGGTGGTAAAAAGCGAGGCACTGGGACTCAGGAGATCCGGGTTCTAGTCCCCGCTCAGCCATGGAACCTACTGGGTGGCTTCGGGCCAGTCACAGACTCTCAGCCCAGGGTTAGAGGAGGAGGAGAATGAAGTAGACGGCCTTGCGTTTCTTGAAAGGAAAAAGGGTGAGATATAAATATAATAAGTCAATACATCAACAAACAAACAGTATGCTAAACCGGATGACAAGAAGCAAGGAAACCCACAAGGGGACTGATCTATTATCTCTTGGGAATATTGGAAGCTGCAAATGGCCATTGGTGCAACAGTGGAATCCATGCAAGCTGCCAGGAAGCCAGGAATAGTTCTGTGAGGAATGGGGAGGGGCATAGGGATGGAGCCCCTTGAGCCCAGGGAGTGATGACCGGCAAAAGCAAGGCCAGGCCCTGAGAGAGTGACATGGCCGGTGCAACTCCTGTCCTGCATCTCTCACTCGTTGCCAGCGGCTGCTGTTTCACAGCTGGGGAGGGGCTTTGAAGACATACATAAGGAATGCAGGTGAGTTTGGATTTCTTTGCTACTGAGAAAACCCAGCAGCTTTTCTCAAGTTGTGCGGAGTCCAGAGAATGGAAGACCACTCTTTTAGTGGGTGTGCATGTGTGCAGAGGGGGGATATACACACCTTTCCACTTGCACTAATGTGCATGTGTGAGCCCCAGGCCCACACACTTAACACTGCACCACACTGGCTCTTGTATAAAGAGATTCCTAGGGGAACCCATGGAGAGTCACTGGCAGACTGGATGGAGATGGAGACCGGAGTGAGCTAAATGGACCCATGTTCCAACTTGTGTAAGACAGTTTGCAATATTTCTAGAAAACAGAATGCAGGAGCGGCCAACTCTGCCCAACCCATGATGGCTTTTAAACAGAGCTCAGCCTTCTCCTGAGTCAAAAGAATTCATCATGACAACCAAGCAGATCCTTGACCCATTAAAAGGATTATGTTCCCTCTCCACAGTGTACAGTATGAGTAATATGACACCTTTCCTCTCTGTCAGTGGGTTTGAGTGAAACTAATGATAGAAAATCTTCAAGGGTATCGAACAGGTCAAGGCAAGTCTGGGACAGACTTTGTTTGCTGTGCTGCTTTTTGGTTTGATCTCTAGAATCAAGCTGGCACTTGTGTCTGATGCGCTCTCATTTGTATGGCGTCGCTCTGCTGGAGTGGGGAGAGATGTGAGTGCCCAGTTACTCTCTTGCTTAAGTTTCTGAAAGCAGAAATTCCTGATTGCCATGGTTACTGCTCGATAGATTCAAAGCGTGCCTTGCACTCCTTTCCCATCATGCTGGGTTCGCCAGGCCGGCCGGACACAGAGGGAGACGGGGCTCCCGCACCTTCCAAAATTATGTAGAGGAAGGCAATGAAAGCATTTCTTATCAACGAAAAGAAATGGAGGAAATTTATTTCCTTATAAATGAAAAGGAGGCTTGTCTTCTATGACAGCTGGTCCCCACGCTCCCTTCCCCCAGTCTGTGGATACAGAATGTTTCCAACCTTTGTCCCCTGGCAGATTCCCCATGTTTTAGTGGTTGCATGATAGGTTAAAATTCAACAGGTAAAGCTTCCCTTTCCAACCCGCCATGGGAAATTTCACCTGTTGAATTTGTCATTTGTATGTGACAGTTTTCAAAGGAACCGGAAGTGTATCCTGTTTTGTTTTGTTTTGGTTTGTTTTGGTTTGGTTTTTTGTTTTGTTTTGTTTTTTGGGCAACCTCAGTTGCAATATAACCAGAGCTGAAGAGGATTGTGGGCTGAAAGACAGAAGCAAATTACAGCTTTTTAAAAGGTATTGCAAAATACGCTTGGAAGAAAAAGGATCTGAGAAACTCTTGGCTGTGGGGCAGAAGAAAGGGCAGAATAGAATAATAACATTCTCTGTGTAACTGCAGTCGGCCAGGAAATGCATTTCACCAACCCCCCATCTATGATAATTCCTTTCCACTGTCCTACGTACATGTTCATCCTACAGGTGGAATGAGGACTTCTGGTTAAACACTTGAAAAAGTTTGTGTTCTAAATAGGCACACCAAAAGTAAACAAACAAACAAACAAACAAACAAACCAGGATAAAGTAAATCCTGGCTAGAGTTAATCTTGGTTCTCATGCCTGTATAATCTTAGCGATTAATTCCAGCATGATTTATGTAGGAAGGGAGGGGCTGGAAGCTGAGATCTCACACTCTACTCCTAATTCCTTAACCAAGGAAAAGAGATCAAAAGTCTTATATCTCCATGAATGTCATGTGACTGTCCTATGCCATGAATCCCTTTTACTGTGCATACTTTTCAGGGTGCTTGTTGTCCTGTGCTGATAAAACATAGCTGAACCAGCAAAAATATCCATGCAGACGATCTTAGAATATGCTTCCTCTCCATCCAGTTTAATTTGAATTGATCTAACTGGAGTAGGGGGTAGCTCTCATCCACTGAGCCGCATCAACAAGCATTTCCCAACTCAAACAAATATAACATCACCTGATAGTACACCAAAGTGTATTTAGAAAATACAAATATGCACAGTAAACTACTCAGTAACACTATATTAAGATGGACAAGTGCATGCAATTATACAAAGTACTGAATAGAAACCAGTTATGTGAAGACTCAAATGGCTTGAGAACACAGTACTTGCTGGAATGCCTCCCCCAGCTGCAATCTACCCGGACACTAAGTTCAAGATCAGATACCTTCCTCTTCCTCTGAGTGCTTCCTCCAAGAAAACCTCACAGGAGAAGGGCCTTCTTAGTGGTAGCCCCCAAATGTAGCATGATCTCCCTACTAACACCTGCCTGGCACCAGCTTTGTCAACCTTTCAGTACCAGATTAGGACAGTTTTCTGGGCTGACTCCTGGTTTTGCGGTCACACTCAACAAAAAAGCTGACTGTGGGTTGTGGAGCAACAGGGTCGTCTCCCTGCATGGTACCCTGAGTGTCCGCCATGATCTCCCTTCCCAAAGTGACTCCCAGGAAGGGGAGAGGCGGATAGCTGGGGCTGACCAGCTCTTGGAAGACCACACCAGTTGCTTTTCTGCCTTCGTGGCTCTTCAGGAAGCTCACCTGCGTGCTCTGAGGGGATCCACAGAGCAGGCAGTGGCAGCAGGGTTGTGTGGAAGGGTGGGAGATGCAGCGGCAGAGCCTCCCAGAGGTGGTGGTGGGGGGGGAGCCTGCAGTTCACGAGGCCACCGACTCCACCGCTGGAAAACGGAGCGCCACCCTGTTCCAAGAGTGGGCCAGCCCTGGGTTTTTTAATCAATGGTGGTGGTTATATACAAAGCAGGTCATCATCTGGGTTCCACACAGGCCCAAAAGTTATAAATCTCCCCAAGCCAGACTTCACAGGGCTTGGCAAAGCCCTGATACGCCATTTCCCAAGCCACAGAGCCTTTCCAAGATGTTTAGAAGGGGTTTTGCCTGATTCAGGCAGTGCTGCAATAGAGTTAGGGAGGGCTCCTCGGAAGCATGTAACTAGCCTCTCTCTTCTACCCCTCTGACTGATATTCTCTGCTTAAAGTTACATCCATGATTCTAATATGTGAGAACAGCAGCAACAACCCCTTGATTAAAAGTAAAGCTACTTCTCTGAGCGTGTCCAGTTTTGCATTTTTAACTTGCTGAATTTATACCACCACCATACATATAAGAATAAACTGAAGCCTGCTGTTGTTGCTGATATCATCTGCCACTCTCAGGGTGCCTATTTATGGGGGGAAGGCTGAACTGCAGGTCCCTCAAGTTTGGCCCAAGGCCCAGTGCCAGCCGCACCACCAGAAAAGGGGTCCTTGCTTTGCTGGTTGTTCCATCCCCAGACAAAGCTCGTTAGCCGAGGCACTCAGAGACACTCACCTGGCTGAAGCTGGCAATTTCTCCAACTCCTCTCAGACAAAGATTTGTCAAGATACCTTCTTCACAGAGGCAGGGTGTGATTCCATCTTCCTTGGCTTTTGCAAAAAAAAGATCGAAACCCCTGAGTTGCCTGAC